CTCACTCGCTAACTCAAAGCCTTTCGAATGTTTATCTTTGCGCAAATACAATAGTTTGCTGGCTACAATAACAACACACAGTGTTGGATATTTGTAACTCAATATGATATTTTTAAATTACATTGTTTATCTAACCTTATATTTTTAGTTATTTTTGTAAAAAAAATTAAAATTTTTTATTTACTTTCAATGTATTGTATTTGCTACTAAAGAGACTGGTCTCGTATAAGATTGAGGTTAGCTAACTGTTAGACATAGAAAAGGTTTGCCTATTGGCAAACAACTCGGAGAGCCAATTTTCACAGGCTTCACTTGAGGCCAACATCTCACCATTGAGCGCGTTCGCCATGGACGTGAAAAAATGGTAATCACATGGTTCCAGGTGCGGACTATAAGGTGTGTGCATTAGGACCTCCCATTCGAGCTCCAGGAGCTTCTGGCGCGTCAACAAAGACGTGTGTGGTCTGGCGTTGTCCTGATGGCACACAATTCGGCCTCTGTTGATCAAAGATGGCCTCTACTGGATGAGTGCTGCCATCAAGCGCTCCATTAGTTAGCAGTAGAGCGCCGAACTGAGCGTTGGGCCATAGGGGAGCAGCTCAATGTAGATGATTTCTTGCCAATCCCACCAAACACACAGCAAAACCTTACGCAAGTAGAGACGTTGGATGTCTCTTTACCATACTCCGCAACCTAATGGCTAGCTCAAATCTGGCTGGTACTGGCTAGGGGTTAAGTGGAATACGTCGATGAAATTGCTGTAGCTTTTAGAGGCCGCTATTCGACACTCAGCATCACTTAAAATTGAACTTGTTACCTTCGAAAAGGTATACCAAATGTTCGGGGTGATAACCTTAACTTAAAATTATTTACTTGTAAGGAAACCGAGTCAAAACTTCTTGACCGGCCTCTGAACACGTGATTGAACTGTAAGGCTAACAAACAGATTATTCTAAAATACAACAATTGGCTAGAAGTGATGCTAAAGTATTGGCACTTTGTAGACGCTAAAGCAATTTTCTGCTGGGATCTATCACTGGTTTTATATATCATTCGAAAGACCCCCTCTGCGGGTTAGGGGTTCACGAATTTACCCGCGGTAAGGCATGCCTGCCATTAGAGACGACTAAAGTCCAATAGTTTCCATGACAGTCGGGTCTTTATACCAGAACGACCCGGATTTTTGTGCGGCCAAGGATTCTCATCCCCGCAACATTATCCAAAAACAACTTTGGGCATATTTTTTTGCGGCAGACAAGAAGCAAAATTTCAAAAAGAAGGAAACTCTAAAGCTGTTGAACCTGACAGGAAAGGTGTGAACTAGCTAAATCGAAAATACTTCGGCTTGGACATCTCAAAAGCAAGTAGGTGTAGGTGCAGTAAGGCTGGCTTCAAAACTGTAGCTTTAAAAACGATGAAGAAGTCTTTTTTTCAAAGTGACTTAGTTTTTTTTTCTGATAACCTAATCGACCTTTTCTGGCTAAGTAGACAGATTTCCACCACTTTATGACTTGGTGATTAGAAAGCTAAAAAGCGTAACATTTTCAGAAGGATCTAAAATCTGTCAAACCGCGAAAGTCTCCAGTGGTGGTAGCCTAAAGAGAACATCATAACTTTTTTTGACGAATCACCACCAGCTTATCTTCAAACTAAGGTCCGATCCCGCTTCAACCGGAATGTCCAAGGCGAAAAGCAATGAAAATCTGGTGTAATGGGTCGGTCAGACTGGAAGCACAAGGGCTTTATGAAAATCTCCAAAAACCAATACAGTTAAGGGAACTTTGTACTAGGGCAGGGAAGCATACAGCATACAGGATATATCCACCGATTTACTCTCCAAACGGCAGTAAAAGTAGAATGGGCAGTATAAGATGATGAGAAGAACATTCCTCAAGTGTGTCGACGGTTTCGACTCAAAAGAACACCTCTTTTCTTAGTTGGGTTCCCAAAGAAGTTGAAAATGGGGATAAGCAACTCTCTGCAAGTGGCATTTAAGACCTATTGGCATCATCTCGCATCCAGCGGTTCTGTTAAGTTTTGTTCAATTGAATCCGCATAGTCTAGTACCTAATTCCTGATGTACTTGGGTGAAGCTTTGTGTTGAGCAGATATCTGCACGGGCGAACGCTTTGCTTCAGGTGGGTATCTTGATCACAGCGTTAGCACCACTGCTTCTAAATTGCTTTTAAATCGTAACATTTTGCACTGGCATGAACGGAGAGGGTGCACAGTGGACAACAGGTTTCCTGTGACGCCCCTTAAGGCGGTGTTTCGACGGGTTTCTCAAAGTATAAATTAAAGGCGGCGGTGGATGAACACTCGTTCAAATCATTACTTATTTTAGGACATTTATAGGCACTTATTACTCACTCTCTTTCTCATACCAACGAGTTGATTGGACCGACGTTGGTTCCTTTCAACTGAAGTACTTGTAACCAACTTTTGCATATCGAACAGGCATCACTGTATCGTCTGTCGCTAAACCTCACTAATTTGACTATGAAGAGAGCTGATAAACGATCTTTCAGTTTGCGACCTTCAAATACAGAGAGTTAGAGAAAACCCCATTAAGAAAATGAAAACAACCCAAGCATATTTTTTTCAACTAATTTTTTCTAATATATTTATATATATATATTTTTTTTTTGCAATTTTTATAAGCATAAACATTTTTCTTTAGTTTGCCTTTATCGCTAAATTTTCTAATACAATACAATATCCATCATTTTATTTGTTGCCTTTTAATTTCGTAATACTTTCGTCGTTTGTTATCGTCTTTTTTGTTTACTTTTCAGCACGAATACATAGATGCAAATAAATTTGATGCAAATAATTTACTATTATTTACTTTATTATTGTGCTCTCATCAAATTTAGTGTATGCATGTACATATATATGTGTGTGAGTAAGATTTTCAAATTATCGCATATATTTTTTATTTATTTATTTTTTTTTATTATTTTTGCGAAATAATGCATAAAACACAAAGTTGCAGCGGAAATTTCAGACATTTTTCTTTTTATTTATTTTTTTTTTTATTTTTTTTAATTTTTGTTTTATTTTATTCTTTAATGCTGGTTTGTCTTTTTGAGTTTCATTGTTTTACTGCTTGCTTTGCTGAGTATTTTTCCCAAATATGCTTTGTAATATGCATAAACAGAATTTAATATTTAGTAATAACAACAAAAAGCGTGCGTGCAAAACAAAAATGCTTTTATTTGTTTTTTTTTTTTACATACTTTTATATGTACATATATGCATGTATTTTTATGTGTGTGTGTTCCCAAATGCATGCAAATTTTTTTAGTTTTTTTTCGTAATTTTTTCGAGTTACATTTTTGTATATTAATGCAAATATTTATTTATATATGCATGTATGTCTGTTTATATGTATAGGCTATGCATCTAAATAGTATAGTGATGAAATGATAGATATAACGCTTAGTATTTGCTACTAGTGATACAATTAATTTACAAGTACAATGCAATAAATTACATAATATTTATTTAAAAATAACATTTTTTTAAACTTGTTTAATATTATTTTTATTTTATTTTTTTATCATTATTATTTTGTTATTATTATTATCATTATTTTATTATTATTATTATTATTATTATAATTTTATTATTTTATTATTTTATTATTTTATTATTTTATTATTATTATTATTATTATTATTATTATTATTATAATTTTATTATTTTATTATCATTATTATTTTGTTATTATTATTATCATTATTTTATTATTGTTATTATTATTATTATTATTATTATTATTATTATTATTATTATTATTATTATTATTATTATTATTATTATTATTATTATTATTATTATTATTATTACTATTANTTTTTATTTATTTATTATTTTCATTTATTACTATTTTTATTAATTATGGTTTTTTATTTATTTATTATTTCATTTTTTTTCTTTGCTATAATTACAACTATTATTATTCATATTATTATTCTTACAATTATTATTATTTATTTTATTGTTTTTGTTATTATTATTATAATAAATAATTATGAAATTTTTAACTATTACTATTTTTATTGATTATTATTAACACACGTTTTATTATTATCGTTACAATTACAATTATTTCTCGTTATTGTTAGACACATTTGGTTTGCTATTTGCTTAAGCTGCAATAAAGCTTTTTTCTAAATATTATTTTTTTCTCATTTTTCCCATTAATATTAATACATTCTTGATAATTTTAATACATTTTTTTTTGCCATTTTTGTATTTAAATAATATTTTGTATTTAATTTTAATTTAATAAATATTTCTGAAATACATATTTACTCTTTATCTTTACTCTTTTCAATAAAATAAATAAAAAGTATAAAAAAGTATTTATTTTTTTTTCGATTAGAAGTAGAGCAGTAGATGTAGTTTCTTTGGAGAACGGAGCGACGTGTACACGTCTCTAAAAAGGTTTTATTTGTTTGTTTGTGAGTTGTTCTATACATTTTTCTTACTATTTTTTTTTGTTTGGTTTAACACATTTCTCTAAAAATGTTTTACATTGGCATTATAAGGTTGAAAATTGGAAATTAATGATTTTTTTTAATTAAATAAAATATAAAATTGTAAATATAGCATTATAAAACAGCCTTTTCGCTTGATCGTGTTACAGAGTAATATCTGTTGTAAAAGATTGTTCTTTTTTTTTATAAAATACAAAATATAAAATAGTTTAAAAATATACACGCATATAATATAGATATAATTTAAAAATATACAATAGACAGTTATATACAGTGATTTAAAAAATATTTAAAAATCGCTAACAAAATAATCGCTGTCGTTTAGAAAGAGAAATATACATAAGGGCTTCGTTATACAATGAGCATAATAAATAAGAGTGTAATATTAAAGCCAGTATTGTTGCTACATGTTTCCCATAATTCACCTTATTTACTTTTTTAATTTTAATTTTGTTTTTTTGCTTAAAAATTACATTATGATAATTTTCCGTTACTTTAATTATCCACTGAGTTGGCGCGTAATTGACTATAGCAGGCCTGACACACACGCACCGGTTTTAAGATGCGCAAACGTGAGATTTCCGATTCAAAACGACTGCATTTATTGCAGAAGACCTGACCACAGTTGCGACAGTGATGTTTACGTTCATAGAGATTGAATCTGAAAATGTAAAGTTTCCAATTGAAAATGATTATTTTTTCTTAAATCACAAAAAAAGAAATAATTGCATAATTTATGGAATTTTAGTATAACTTTTTTTTTTTTGTAAATTATTGTAATTTATTTTAAATTATGTAAAAGATGAAATTTTATCATAATTTTCCCCAAATCATACTCACTTCACATGACATTTCACACACTGATCGGTCACCTCGTCTTTTAGCCAATGATCGGCTACGCCACGTCCCGGCTGTTCGGTTACACACCAAGAGAATATGCGCCCGCGTGCGTCACCTTTGTTGAATTAGCATTGTTTAGTGTAATTTAAAAATTGTTTAATAAATTTATAACTTTTTAAAAATTAAATTTTTGGGGTTTTGAACAAAAAAAAAAGCTTTTGAAAAAATTTCTTAATTTCTTTTAATAAATTTTGAGATTTTTGAATATTTTTTCTGCTTTTGAAAAGAAATTCTAAGATTTTCATAATAAGTTGTATTAAATTTCTTTTATATTTTTTTATTCTTATTAAATAAATTTACCGGCTTTTATTAAATTTCCCTATTTATGCAATTAATTTCTTGATTTTTGGAAAAAGAACTCGTTTTTTATTTCTCGTTTTTTGATAAAAATTCTTTGTTATTAACATATTTTCTCCCGTTATTTTTAAATGTCATGTATTTTGATGCAATTTCCCTATATTAGAATTTTTTTTTAACTTCCTCAATGAATTTATCGTTTTTTAAAAAAATTTCGATTATTGAAAAATAAGCTCGCCGTTTTGGTAATTTTTTCAAATTATTCAAAAAAATCTTATTACTTAAAATATTTCCTTGATTTTCAAATAAATTACCATTTCAATACTTACCAACATATAAAATTTTGTGATCTCTAGAAACGGTTAATGCAGTTATACTCGCCGGTTCGGCATTATCCTTGCGATCGTATGCCGTATGCATGGTGAGTTTGGAACGGAACATTAATTGACGTTGCCATTTGAAGCCTAAGGGGGATGAAGAAGAGAAATGCATAAGAAAGGGTGTCATTAAATAGGAAAAACAAAATTTAAATACTGCAAAAACTAAATAAAAATAAGCGAACTCAATAGCATCTGATAGCTTCATGGTCATGTGATAAAATATAAAATATGACGCGAACTTCTGAGTATATAGAGAAGAATTTTGGTAACACAATGGCAAGTTCGAATCAAGTTTTAACACTCTCATCATGTGATTTACAATTTAGATCTTGTGATGTGAATGTTTAGGTCATGTGATTTGATAACTTGGCTACTGAATATTAAATGACAGCTTCGAAAATTTTCAATAAAAAAAACGGAATTGACCTAAAAATCGATTTTTTTTTAATTTTTTTTTTTTCTAATAGATCCAATGTCTTCTAGTCGTGTCATATGACATGCAGTCACGCGATTTCAATAATGTCGTGTAATACGTAATAGCGGGCTTCTAAGCTTACGACTAACAAGCATATTTTTTACTACTCATGTTTTCAACTGATGATATGATGTAAAACTCATCGTGTGATGCAAATTTCAAATCACATGATAACCAATTTTAGCTCATATGATTCAATAATTTTACATTCGCTGGGAAATTTTTCATGAAATATTAATTTTAATTGGCCATTAAGCATAAAATTTTAGTCATTTTCTATTTAAATCACATGACATAGTTCATGTGATGTCGAATCATGTGATGATCACGCGATACCCGAAATGTCATGCGATGCTTTAGTTAAATGAATTTTTGGAGATTAAGAATTAGAGTTTTTGTGCAGTTATTCTCATTTAAATTTCAAGTATAATGTAAAAAAAATTCCTTAAATGGTTTAGATATATTACATCATGACATATAAAAATTATGTCACATCAGAAGTCTTTTATATGATGATATTGACATCGTAAGACATTGTGATTCCTACCATTTGCGCACTTTTAAGTGAAATCAAACTACTGAAATAAAAAAATCGAAAAAAAACCAAGCTTTGCATTCTCTCCCTTTTTTTAATTCACGTCTGCCTACTTACCTTTTCTCAACGATTGTTCACTCTTAAGTTTATCATTATCCACCATTACAAAGCCGTCCGTGAGACTGGTGTCCGATTTGCTGGGACGTATGGTGCGTTCCTCTTCTGTAAAATAAAAATTTATATAATTACAACTTTTTAATTTGCAGAAATTTTCTATTCCATACCCTCAACGCATTTGCTGGCTATACTTTCGCCCTCTACAGTCGAGGCTTTCATTTCGTGCAAGGATTTGGCGCCAGACAATGAACTCTTCCGACGCCCACTTTGCTCCTTATTATCCTTATCTGCCGCATCATTCTGCTTATGGGAATGTGTAGAGTGTTGTGAGTGCGCAGAAGCTTCTGATATGCTACTTTCCGAGCCAGATTTGGCAATGACTTTCGAAATGAAATAAATACAAATAAATTATAATGCATAATGAATAAATTCTGGAAATTATCGCCACACACCGTTTTCATCCTGCACCGACAGACTCTTCATTTGTTTGAGTAAATTCATTTTGCCGCCTGCATCCTTGGCCTCGCATGAATTTTCACGCTCTGTGCTGCCCGGGCGATCCTGTGAGCCTACTTCAGTCGCTCGCTTGAGCTTGCGATCAATTGGTACTTGTGTGTACTCGAGTGACCACATACGCACCACACCATCGGTCGAACCGGTGATCACGACATTCTCCTGATCCCATTCACGTATCTGCGAGAACGCAACACACAGAATCTGTTGCATGCGATCGGCGCTGCCCACACACGTATTCACCATCGCCAACGGATCACCATTGATGGACCAAACATGCAACCAAGTTGCTGAGCAAGTCGCTATATCACCTGTAAGATCATTTATCGCTACGGCAGCCACAACACCGGCATGGCCGCGCAGCTGACGCACAAATGTAAAGCGTGACATGTCCCAAACGATTGCTGTACCATCACGCGAACCCGAAATGATGACATTATAGGCAGCGCTTGCGGCCAAACATGTGACTGCATCTGTGTGGCCGTGTAATGAGTTGCGTACCGTGAGACTCTTGCGGTTAGCATCAAATTTCCATATCGTTACCACCGAGCTAGTGCCGGCAGTGACAATCATCTTGCCATTGGGACAAGCGCAACAAAGTATTTCACCCGAGTTCTGCGCCGCGGCTTCGGAAACGAAAGATGCGCGATCGGAATCGTAGAGACCTATGCGTAGCGAGTGATCGGCAAAGCCCCAGGCGATATATTTAGTGTAGGAGGGTGGCATCATGACCTGTTTGTGGTGGATGAGAGATAAATTATTAGAAATGGGAACTATTTTCGAGTTAAGCATTCTCACCTTATTCTGTTCGACGGCAAACACAGTCTTATCTGGTTGTAATATCTGACCAACAGGTCCTTTCAGTTCCTTAATTGGCTGTAGGCTCGGTTTAAGATTGTTTAAATTATGGAAGAACAAACGTTCCGATTGTAAAACGGTGGTATTGCCCTGTATCAAAGCGCCCGGGTCGATAAGTGTAGAATGCCGAGAGTTGGACATTTTCTTAGCGGGATGTGCCTTCTTGAATAGCTGCTTGGGTATTTGACCAAAATTATTGATAAAACCGATGGTGGCGTTCTTCTTCAGCGGATCTTCGATGCTGTGTATTAAAGAGAGAGCAGATTTTTTTTTATAAAAAACTAATTTTGAGTGTGAAACCCTGCCACTCACGTGTAAATATCCACATTTCCTTCGTAGAAAAGATGATGGAATACGTTCACAGCCTCTACGGCAGCGGGACCTTGTTGCTTACAACCGAATATCAAGTCGATCCACTGAAAGAACGTAAAAATTAGAGTAAAAATTCAACTTGCGGGTTGAGTTAGCGCATTTGAAACTCACCAAATGCAGATTCTGACTGACATAATCACACTCTAAGGCACTTCTGTGCACACGTATAAACTCACGAGGATCTTGCTTAGCCCATGGTGGTAGTATGACATGATTCAAAGTCTCACCATTTTGTTTTGTGCCTGTGGGATTTTAGAATTTTTACTTCTTTTTAATTACTCCTCCCCCATCTAGCAACCACATACCCAAATCAAAGTTATTGCCATTGCTTAAAAACTCTGGTAAATAGAAAAATTCCGGTATCAACTCCTTTACATCAGCCATATTGAATTTGGATGCGGATAGCCAAGCCTCTCTGATGCTGTGAAACATACGGTCAGCCAAATCGAAGTGGCCACCTTGCAAGCGCAAAAAGTGTTGTGTGAATGGTTCCAAGCGCACCAAATATGAGCAGACAATCATAGCGGAACTGTAATGCGTGCCGTAGTGATATGGTGGAGTCTCGCCATGCGGATCATCCCACTCCTGTGGGGCGATAAAAAGTTATTACTTTTGTGTAAATAACAAAAAAAAAACTATATCTTTCAATAAACACCTTAAATCGTTTCTGGAATTGCTCCAAACGTTCATCGGATTGCGCACCCATTGGTCTGGAGAAGTCACGGAATGTCTTTGGATTGGTCAAATCCAATTCTTCCGATTCATAGTCGGCGACTATCCAAGGGAAGACTGGATATTGCATGAGATCATTGTAGGAGCGGCCAGCCAGCGTATTCAAATGCATTAAGTATTGGAAGTTGGAGATTTCGCCTCGCTATGGAATGAAAAAGTATTTACGTTTTTGTCTAGAAAATTGTTCTACTTCATTCACTTAACCAAGAACTCATTAAAAGGAATATATATATTTATTAAGGACTTTAGAAGAGGTATGGAACAATTTATATTCTTGGTATTCAAAAAACTGCTTTTCAGAATAACTATGTTTTCCGAAGACTTGCGTTAAACAAAGACTCTATAGTTTATTCTCTAAAGAGTAATTTTTTCATAATGTTCAATATTACTGTAAGAGCATGTACAGCTCATCACAATGCTTAAAGCACATTAAAAAAACAGCTGCAGAAGCAATTTAATCTAAATGCTAATACCTTCAACAAAAAAACCTTAAAGCGAAGAAGAGTTCTAATAAAATGAGTAAGAGTATGCCGCCGGCATCTCAGGAAACTAACTCTGTGTTAGAAAACCAACTCATATAGAGTGCGAATACAAAGTACTTGCAACATTATTTTCAATTAAAAAATTAAGAAAAATTTGTAAATTTCTTATATAAAATGATAGCTTATTACTTTCGACATTAAAAAAATAAAGTAATATATATTCCACTACTGAATTATAAGTAGCATAAAATCTGCAGTAAACTATATTCTCTTTACTTACCACCCAACGTTGCGTGACCGATGTCTCACCAATGAGACTGCTAAATATACCCGATGTCTGCTCCACACTAGCTGTGCGCTTTTGACCCGCCACCGATTGCTGTGCATTGTCATTAATAGCTGTCGCTTGTGCCATGAAGCGTTGATAAACCTATAAAACAAAAAGTTATATTAACAGTACTTCATACTGCGTGCACTTACTCTTTGGTACTTACCTTATTTCTAACTTTTCGTGGAAAGCTCAACAAATAATTGCGTCCATCTTCCGAGAAGACTTCTAATGCAACGGGCTGCAGCAGATAGCGACGCTTATGTACCTCTCTAATTTCTTCATAAGCAAACTTCGAACACTGTCGCGCCTTCTGTGTGCGTGTGTACGGACCACCTGAATTCGGTATAATGGGCTCGTAAGCACCTGGTGGTAGCGTGTCGATATCACGTATTTCGCGATTCTTCAATAAAGTGAAACCATCGACTATATAACAATGCTCCTTGCCGAACAGCAGTAGACCCTCGAACGTGTCCAAACCCTGTATACGTGCACAACGGAACATAAATGAAATTTTCTCTTGTTCCTCCAACAAACGCAGGAATGTTTCATTATCGGACATCATGGATGTGTCCTCCTCTTCCTCATCTTCTTCTTGTGCGCCAGCATCTAGGGATTCTTGTGGATTTTGTAAGCGTGTAGCTGTCTCCGACTGTGGTGAGTGTGGTGGCGGTGGTGTGCCGCCACTATTCGGTCCTTCAGAGTTTTGATGTGGTGGCTTCGCATTATTGGCTTCCACCGAGTATTGTTGTTGTATGGAGTGTTGTTGTTGCAGCGAATCTGTTTCACAGAGTATGCGTGGCGGTTGCTGGCAATGTGTATAGTAGATTTTACTATCGAAACTGGTGGCCACCTTGTATTTTAATTGACGCTGTTGTACAAAAAGAGAGGAAATATTATTTTAAAAGTCCAAAGCATTTTCAATGGCACTTACATTATCGGGCAAATCGATTTCCGGCCTGTAAGGGTAATGCAAGTAGAAAAGCTCATTACGCATAGTTTTCTTGCGCATGCGATGCGGTCCCTCTGTCGTATCCAGTATCCACTTATCCAAGGACGAGCTGCCCTCAGGACCCCACAAGCCGCGCTCACGTGTCAATTCAGTCTCTGATTGCACCCAGTCTTGAAAAACGTAGCGCTGTGTATGCTGCTGCATTTGTACGTACTGTTTGCAGCGTAGCTCCCAGAGGTCCCTTGAGAGAGAGAGAGAGAGAGAGAGAGAGAGAAAGACAGAGCGAGCGAAAACCCGAAAAATTACAACTTGTCTGGCACAACGACACACACACTACTTACTTAATCAACTGTACATGTATGGCCGTACAATCGAATGCATTCTCTTTGCTCATTGTCGATTTGGTGCGTACGAGCTCATCCTTTTTAACTTTAGTGCGACTTGCCAGACGCGTTAAGCCGCCAGTGACTTTCTGTATCTTCGATTGTATCTGATTGTGTATCTCCCAAGGTATGCGATAGGAGGCCTTACGCTCAGCATCTACATAGTTGAACCATAGTTTGGACGCAAGTTCCATAACCTGCTCACGTGTGCTTTGTAGATCGGGTGCTTTAGAATTTGGTAGCGGTGGGGTGAGCGATACTTTAAAGACTTCTTCGATAGCAGGCTTTTTACAAACATACAACTCCTCCCAGACGCGAAAAGCGGCACCGACAATCAAATTGCGACCCTGCGGTAGAGGAGGAGGGCAGTGCTTTTATATATATTGAGTAGTTATTTTTGCAAACTCACCTGTAGCTGATTGAGATCCTCATCCTTCGGCTCAACAGTGTCGGTTTGTGGATTTACATGCCAAGTGGTATTGCGACTAGTTGCCGGCTCCAAAATGATCTTCATATCCGACGTCAGCTGCAGCAGGCAATAAGTAAGACAGCCAATGAATTCCAACTCATGATTGCCTGCGCCAAATATGAGCAAACGATGTGTGATTATATTATGCAAAGCCTCCAACACGCTCATCTGTTCCGTTATAGACTCTGTGGGACGCGACAGCAGGTATAATATGGTACGGTTCAGCGAATGATGCAACTGTTCGATTGTCAGTGAGGAGGAGCGACGTTTCGCTTGCGCAATCAGCTTGATGACAAAGTCAAAAATATCATGCGGATTGCGCGTTAAGCAACCCTGCCACATCTTGTCCACCACACGTGCTGTGAAGTAGAACACATTCGGCGCTATATGCTGTGTATGACTCTGCAGTAGTGGCACGATGGAAAGCGCCGCCTGTTCACCCACCAACACATCCGCAGCCAGCAGATGTTCCATCAATGCATTAATAATTTCCGTCTGATACTCAACTTGCAGCGCCATTTCCGCCGACTCAGGTGAGGCGTCGAGCACGAGATCAATAACTGGCGTGGTCTTGCCATGCATATTCAAGCTCAACGAGTCGACAACAATAACACGCAGGAAGTCTATAATACACTTGCGTACCGGATGCTGTGTTAGCTTATGCGCTTGCGCGCTAGACACGCTGTGCTCACGCAACAAAAAGGCGCTCGTGCCATTATCGGTCGGTGTTGTGTTACCGCTGTTTGGCTCCGAATCAGCACCGGCGTCCTTGGAGTTGGGAAACAGCACAGCAACCAGCGAGGTGATTACATCGCCAGACATCATGACAGGCATGAAATCGGTCACATTCTGATATAAATTGAAGAGCAGTTGAATTATTGTCTCAGGATGGCTATTGAGCCAGTTGGCGCATTCCGAGGCGTGCACGATGGCGCGTACCATGCCAAGCAGCACGCACACCGCCTCGGGGCAGACATTCATTTTTGGTAGTGGCGCATTCGAGGAGGGCGGTGTGCCCCAGAGGAAGTGACGCACGCGATCTAAATCGAATTTTGTATGCTCAGAGGCCATTACCTTGACGGGTTGGCCCATAATCAAGGCAGTTATGAGAAAATACAGTTCGGGCACGTCGAGATGATGTGTGAGCAGCCATTCGAGCATTTGGTAACCTGTAGGTGGAAGTTTAAACAATACATTTATGATTCTACACAAAACTCATTAATACAACCGAGCTCACCTGGTATACTCAGCGCTGTGGTGCGCACTTCGCCTGCAATCTGCGTCGGCAAATGTTGTATAACATTAGCTGTGGTCACAATTACGGAGCCAGCGCTACTCTGCGTGCCCGTATTGAGTTGTGGCGCGCCTAACGCCAACATTTTCTTCTGCGAGACCATCTCTGTGAAGCGCAGATAGCCGCCGTTATGTGTGGAGTCTCTAAAACGCACCATGAAATTCTCGTTGGCGCAGACGACTACCAATATGCGCACCGCTATGATAACGGTTGTGAAATGTACATGCGACTGCATGAAGAGCAGCAGCCAATCCATGCCGAGCGTTTTGGAGATGTCATCGCAAATGATGTAATTTACAGTGTTGCGCGGCGTGAAAAGCAGGCCGTGTAGCAGCGAGAGACAACGATTGCGTAGATAAATATTCTGTGCCATCAACTCATGCTCACTGAAGCCAGCGCAGTTGCCGTTAACGCCGCCAGCTGAACGCATGCTCGGCAATATGAGCGCCTTTTCTATTTGATCGGATTTCGGCAACTTTGCGGCGATGTATTGACCGAAGAGCAGCAAATCACTGTGACGGGGCTGGCCGCCGAGCAGAGTTTCAATCAGATTAAAGAGTATTTCACGTGTGGAGTGATCTTGTATGTCGATAATGATATGCAACAGTTTATTGAGCAACTGCAAGTTGCCCATAATTTTCACATTCTGTTTCTTCTCATTCGACTCGATTGCCAGTTCGAGCAGATGCTCCAGTAGCGAGCGCAACAAACCATTCGGTGCGTTATGCCAAATCTCCAAATCGCAGAGCAGATCTTGAAATGCTGTCACATTCGGTATGGCCGACATATCTTGTCCACTGCTTACAGTGCCCACCAGGCCAAAAGTCAAATGTAGTATGTGTGAATTGAGTAGATTCTTTTTCTTCTTGAAAAACATGCCCAACGTCTGGTAGCAACGCTTACGATCCATTTCGCTTTGCGCTGCGCGATTACTACGCACCACACAGGTGAGCGCTTTAACACCGGCGTAGAGCGATTCCACATCCTGAGCCATAGCGATGATGCCGAGTAGCACATTGCAGCCGCCGACGGTGTCGATCATGGCAGAGACCGGGTGTGGACTGAAAACGCGCACGCCCAGGTAGCCAACAACTACGCCGCCGAGTGAACGGCCAGCGCCCGCCAGGTGCCCGGCGGAGTTGTGTAGAATTCTACAACGAAAAGGATTAGGTATATATATATTTTTTATCAAAATTTCAGCACAACCTACCTTATAGGCGTGGCATTCTCATGCGAGTTCATGCCCAACACCTTCGCTATCGATTTGTTATCAACGCGACTGTATACCTTGCGTATCTTTACCAAAGTCAGCTGCGAAACGGCCTTTGCATTCAAGCCCAAAAGCACACGATCTTCCGGTACCAAAGGCGGCAAAGCCTCATTCTGCTTACCGAGTTGTGGTGCTTGCAGTGAGCCCATATAATGCGGACCCAAATTATAGATTGTATGTACTGTCTGTTGTGTGAGCACATCCTCGAGTAGGTGGCAAACGCCCTGCTTCCAACAGAGCCGTGAATAGCGACGCCAAATTGGCGGTGTGCCGATGTAACCGTAAACTTGACTGGCCACTGCGAGATTGGCAGAGCCAGCGCCGGGGTTTTGTGAGATATAGTGCAGCTTTTGTGTATGCATGGGCTGTATAGAGGCGGATGAGGGTTGAAGAAAAACTTAATTTGTTGAAAATAAAAACACTTTTATAACGGTACACTTACAGTGCCGTCCAAATAGAGTGAAAGACTGGAGTTTTTCAACACTGCGCGGTTGAGCACGACAACTAGATTATGCCATTGACCTTCATGCAACAAATCGGGACACCAAATACGTGCGCTGCTATCGTCCGAGCCCTCGGGCTCCCAGTCGCCGAGGCCTGAAAGTTAAAGTTGTATTAAATTTCCTTCGTTACCAACCTCATTTTCTTGTACTCACTTTTGCTCGGTGTAACCAAAGTTTCCTGCGTGGACACCACAATCGCCTTGTCCCTAGCTGACAGCAGTATAGATAAGCACACCAAGTTCTCTTCGCGTGGATTGTGTATGGTGCGCACCAACGTCAGCAGGCGCACGCAATGTGGATCTGTTTTTGGGTCGGAGAATTTCTCCACACAAAACCAAGTAGAGTACGAGAGCCCCGTTTGTGGTGGGAAAATACGATCGCCAGCGCCAATACCGCCAATAGTATTCGCATCTATTGTACCGCCCGTGGTGGCGGTAGCTTGCGGTGCCAGTGAGGGCAAATACAAGCAGCCAAAACCCTCGGCAGACATATCCATTTCGACGAATGGTGGCAAAGTGCTTGAGCCATGTGCGCGAAAGTCCCGTGGCGTTGTCATGGAGACGAGTGTCTTGATGCGCGTCAACGGCACGGGTCCACCCATGCGGTACGGCATGCGCAGATCAATATCAGCGCAGGAGAGCGGCTCGCCAAGACGCAAAAACTCGCGCAACTCTGTGGGTTGTAGAGCTTGTGCAGCCAATCGCTCGAGCACATACTGCATGGAGACGTGCAGTGGATTAGTTTCCTCTGAGAGCGCATTACGCGCTATCTTCAACAACTGTTCGGCGAGTCCGTAGTCACACATTATCTGTTGATTGCGTTCATTGCGCACCAAGGACTTGATGATCTCGCTGAGATAAACCTGTAAGTTGAGCGCCAACATGGCGTCGGTCTCGTGCGTAATGCTCGGTAGAAGCTGCAGCATACAAAGCACAACACCGGGATGCACAATACGCGGCTCTGGCGTAGGCTGCGTAAGATTTAGTTGATTTGGATGGGCTGGCGGCAACTCCTTGCTGGGCGAGCGCGTGTGCGTATCGCTGAAGAGTGTTATAACACCGGACAAGTTCGGTGTTTCAAAGTTATCGAGCGCAATGCTGTAGAGCAGGCGATAAACGACGCAGACGTAGGACAACGAGCGCGGTATGTCCATATTGAAACTGTGTGCGAAGGAGGATTTTATTAAGAAATTGAAGTTTAAGCTCTAAAGCTACTCACCTTTGATTCAATATATCACCCGCGAAGACCTGATGGAAATACTTTTGCATGGTGCTTTCATTTTTATATTCGCCCTTGAAGTCATACAGCTCGGTGGCACTGCCGAAGCAGCCCAACAGTCGCAGCGTATCACACAGCGAGGCCGTACAAATCTCTTGATGAAAGAACTTCGCATTCGCCGGCTCGAAACGCATCGCAGTGGCCAGCGTCTGGCAGACAATTTGCAGCAGCAAGATCAGGTCATCCTGTGTAATGGCCTGTGCATCAGGTTCCACACTCGCCAACGGCTCATCGCACAGCTTGCCATCGAGCGAGACGAAGACACTGGTTAAATACACAAAACCGCCAACTTTGCGGAAAACGGTGCGCGTGCGATGTGAATCCTTCAAGCAGCCCAACAGCATGTTGAGTATTTGTATTTTGAACTCCACTTGATATGGCGGCACTGCATGCATGACGGACAGTATGAAGAGCATGTCGTCATCACCGCCCGCCGAGAGTATAAGCTCACGTATGATGCCCAAAGCCTGGGGACGGCAATGCTTGAACTTTACCAAATCGTGTATGCACTTTGCGCCGCCACATTCACGAAACACATTAGCATTGTTGTTATTACCACTCAGCAGTATTGTGAGCGCTTCGAGCACGTGCTTGCCCAGCATATCGGTAAGATCCTCCAGATCATCTTCATCTGGCACAACAACCAGACTCTCGTCACATTTCGTAATCTTACGCACATGATCGGCGTAACGGTTCAAACAGGTGACGAAAACCTCGAGTATACCCACTTCGAGATAAACCTCCTTGAAGACCGCATTGTGCCGTAGTATATTGAGTAGTGTCTTCAAGCACAATATGCTACAGCTTGTCGAATGATTGTTCTTTAGCAGCAGTGAGAGACTAATCAACTCCTTGCAGGGCACAAAATTCAATTGGAATACAATAAATTCTAGCAAATCGAAGAATTTCTCTTGTATCTGTGGTCCTTTCAGGTGTATGCGCTCAGTGAATTGGCTCAGCGTATTCTCCGAGTCGAGTATGAAGTAGTTGGCATTCTCTGAATGATAGACACGCGAGATGGCGTCCAATATGGTGCAGCACAGCGCCGGTGAGGTGGACTTCAGGAAGACCGTTTGCAACACTTGGAATGCGTAGATGTTACGTACACAAGTTTCGCGTGAACTCGCTTGTGGCATTTGGAAATTTTGCATTTTGAAGAGTGTATTCTGCACCTGTGGTGGACGCAATTCGTTGAAGCCGCACATGCAAAGCGACGAGATCATTAGTACGAGGTTGCGTATAGCGGCCTGCACCTCAATGGAATGAGTACGCGTTGTGTCGAATCTGGGGAGGATAAGTGGAAAGATTAGTTTATATTATAAAAAGAATACTGTTATTTTTTAAAAATGTCTAATGTCTGTAGCTGTTTTCGGCCTATGAGGCGATCGGCTTGTAGTTGAAGGCAGTCCGGACTATCAGTGGCTTTCAGTCACAGGTCTTTTAGACTGTTTTGTGGGCAACCGTTCCGGCAGCCATCGTCGTGCTAGACTTCTTAGCCGCGAACAATATTCATGATACTCAAGACGAGACGGTTTCGTATTTTCGATAGATGAACATGAAAAAGAGTCCAGGCACAACAGGCAGGAAGTACTTGACTTTACGAACTTCATTAAGCAATATTTTACAGTGGCGCTGTACGTGACCAGCTACCGATAGGCCTTAAAAGCCATTTAGGGTGAGTTCGTTATTCCACTGAATAGCGTACTGGAAAGCCAACTACCACTCGTAGCAGACGGTGGAGTCCTCCTCGCTATCCGAGTAATACTAGTAGAATTAAAATTTGGCGGATGTAGAAGACTTAACTTCTACTTGGCCTTGCTCAACCACGATATACTCAAAGTATGTTCTGCATACAACGAGTTCCCACACGGGAACACTAAAAACAAATCAGCTAGTACCTATCTTCTCGTAGTTCGAACCCTTCGAAACAGCTCGTTGTTTGGACCTCCACTACAACGACCAACTTTGCCTGTTCTTAAGCGCGGTTACCGAGCCGCTACAAAAAGAACATCGATTTTTTTTACTCTACTCGTTCCGAAACGTTGCTCCAGGAAATACTAGGTTCGGTTGAATATATGGCAGTCATGAGGCCTCAAGAGCTATATATGGAATCTTGAAAATATTCAGTGGAGGAGTTCTTGAGCTTATAGGCTAACTCTTTCGCCTTCTCATACAGCGAATGACTTTCAGGATGCTTCTGAGAGGAAATAATTTTGCAGTTACAAGAACAAAAGCATTGGCGTGCTTATCGAAAGAAGTCTTAATCTAAATGACCAGACAACGAAGAAAAGTCTTCCACGACATTATTCAGTATCCTTCAGCATATCGGAATTCACGAGGGCGAGTGTCGAGCTCATTTCGGCGATGGTTCTTGCACTGAAGTGTGAATCATCAGACATCAAATTGTTTAAAATCTACACTCTTCGGAGGGAACTTTGGAACATAGCCTGAGTAAATTTTAATGCGCGCACTTAGTTAGTGGGCCCACTTCTTCTAGATCGATTCTTTCGTAAATATTTGTTCTCTGACTGACGTTTTTAGCTAGGCGGGTCGTCCTCGAGTATGCATTATTAATATTCTAAAGCCGCTATAGGGTAGCTTAGTCTACTACGGAAAAGTTTGTATGGACCGTCATAGAAATCAAGGAATCTCCGCACGCGTGTGGAGACGTTTATTCCGGCCTAAAAATCCGAATCAGCTGACAATTCCATACTATAGTATTTTTATAATTCTAAAGCCTACTTCAAACTCACTTGAGCAAAAAATCGCTGAGAAATAGATATCCTTGTGATGCTTTGAAATCATCGAGAAGTATTTGTGACACTTGACTAGAATCCTTAAGGAAGCAAAAAACGGTAACGAACATTTCGACAATCTCCAGCGGATTGCCAAAGCTTAAACGTTGCATATTATCCACGCATAGAGCCATACAGCCTTTGGCTACAAGAGAAAGACAAAAAAACACATATTACATACATATAAAGTAATTAATAAATAAAACCACGTACAATGTATATAACTGACAACCGCATCGGTTAGGCCATGTCGTGAGATGGTCGTCAATATCTCCGCAGCATTTTTACGCCAAACAATATTATGCGTGGGGCAGGGTGATGTGATGGCCGAGAAGAGTAAAGTCAAATCATCCATGCGCGCCAACTCCTCAGCTGGATAGGGATATGAGCAAAGTTTCACCAGCAGCTGTACGAAGACTTTCTGCAAGAGAGTGCGTCGCTCGTAGGCATTAAAGTCGCTCGCCGACTCGCCAATGTCCGGCGGTGGATCGTCCTCCACAATAGGTAAGTCAAAGAACAAATACAGACATTTGACGAGCGTAGAGGGCACTGCGGCAGCTGTCATAACCTGTGAAGGCGAGTAAAAAAAAAAAGGAAAATTAAATATTTTCATTCAAAAATTAAAAAAAAAAAAAGAAAAACATTTTAAGCAGCGCCGAAGGAAATAAGAAAAGGGAGATGCAAGAAGTTTGGACTTTCTTCAAGCTGCTCGAAATGCTACTCGGCATCGTCTGTCTCACATTTCACGTGGTGGGTTTTTCGCAGACCGAGCCTTTGCCGCATAATCTCTTCTACTGCGGCACATTCGCCAGCTTTACGTTCTTCTCCTTTCTGGGCATACTCAATGTATATTTTGGACGCGGCCGCACCGCCATCATGGAGGCTATACCCACAACATTGGGTGCTGTGATGCATTTTGCCGCTTCCATATTATCAATGTATCATGCGGAGAATGATTTTCATCTCATGTTTCTAACCGATTTCGAGGAGCCACAGCATTCGTACTTTTTCTACTGCAAAGCACAAAGTATTGCGGCTCTAACGACAGGCGCTTTGTATATGTTGCATGCAACATACGCTTATGATGCTGTTTTCATACGCACCCGCAGACGCTTACATGTGGGCGTAACGGAGGACGCAGAGACCGAGGATGAAACAGAGTCGGCGCCAAGGCATCAAATACACATTGAAATGTTTGTGCTTGGCAAGTGGTGCCATTCGAAATTGTTGCGCTACAAATGGTTTCAGAAATTAGCTGCGAAGCCGTAAACGAGGTAGAGCATTCCGGCATATCACTATGAAAACTGTATCGCTAAATCCAGGAAAGAACTATTCAAGTTACAGAAAGCAATAAACTAAGACTTTTACTTTTGGTTGTGATAGTACCTTGTCTAGGCTGGCGACTATAGCGACTTGAAGTGCAATTCGCCGATGGAGAGGTTAAAATTCTGTGAAAGCATCAACTTGAGCAGATCTTCTGATGCCGCCTGTGCATCCCCAAAGGTGTATAATTTTATCACCTACAAGCAACATCTGCTGCCGAGCTGACGCAGGATTCACTGGGGCTCGCAGGAATCGCCTCGTTGCTCCAGACACATCAGGAAGTAAGAAATGCGGGCTATCCGGACTGCATTCAGAAAGAAGCAACAGAGACGCTGGACGCAAAGTGCTACCGGCAGGCCGCGGATGCTATACTCACTTTATTAAACTCTCTTTTAGTAAATCGAGTCCTTGGAACCGGCTCATCGTCTCTAGTAGACGAGAAGCACGTGCTATCCTGAAGAATCCAGTTTAAACTAAAGTCTGGACGTAGCAATAGATTAAGCTTCTACCTATCAAGAGTCCTCCCACTAACCTTTGGATATATGCAAAAACTAACTGACTTAATACTTTGTTAACGATATTGTAGCCGCAGAAATAACCCCCCCCCCCCTTCCATTAGTTTCCAGCCCTAGGTCGGTTACAAATCCGGGGCGTTCCGTCATAAGGACCCGACTATTGGATTTTTAGTCGCCGAAACAGCTTCTTTACTGAGACTCTCATTAGACGATCTCGATAACTTCTTTTTATATAACTACAACAGCAACAGTAACAATAAAAACTTACTTTATATGACCTGAGGTCGCTAGACATAAGAAGGGTAAGGTTATGTACCTAAAGCACTCGGAGCCACAGTGCCCGAGTGGTTAACAGTGCAAAACGATCTTTGGGATGGTCAAGACAAGACCCGCGGATCAGCCTGTGGTACCTCAAGTACCTACAACTTGGCAAACGAACCTTTTGTACTTATACCCAGCTTGCCGTACCGGATTCGGTCATACCAATATAATCTCACAGGATTATATTGTACACTCAAAAGAAACGTCGCCTCCTCCAGCGTGCAGATAATTTTACATTTCGTTTGTCTGAGTGCTCCTTCCCTCCGCTGCTACACAACCACATTACCTGTATCAGCGACACATCGCCGTTGGCCAGCAAATTCAGCGTGGACAGCAACATCCAACCGCTGCTCGTCTCCTCGGTCGTTTCTATCTCCAGAAACTTCACAATCGCTATCGATGCAGCCTCGGTGCTCTGATTTGACGCACGCTTCCTTATCTCGCTGACCATTAAACGTGAAACTTGCTGACAAAAGGCAACCACATCCCAGAACTTTTCGCTCATATCCGCTGCGGGACAAGTGCTGAAAACCTGCATGAAAAAAGTGTGTGAGAAAAATTTCATTTGAAATTTAGCTAAAAATAACTTTTTACCTTGCAAAATAACGGTAACATCTGATATAACTTCATATCCCTTTCATGCTCGCTCAACGCCTCTTTAGGATGTGTGTACTCATTGAATAGCTGTTTGAGTGTGTGTAAACTGATTTGTATGCGTGCATCTGTCGTGGCTGTTGATATCTCATCACCGACACGTGTCCCAACTGCGCCGCTTATATTGCCATTAGCTGTGGTGCCAACTGTGCCGCCACCACCACCACCTCCAGTTGCTGTGGGTGAGCCCCCGCCTGTGGCATTGCCACGTAACTTACGCATCACGTTCATGATTTACCGTTAAGTAAGTAGGGGCACGAATGCGGTTGTGAGTGTCGGTCTTTGTGTGTGTGTGTGTCTGAGTTTGTTGGATTTTTGGTGTTTTTCTGTGGCTTCCACTCCGTTTGCGGAGCAACCGCAGACACCGACGTTAACACCACCACAGCGCCGTTGCGGTTGTGTGTGTGTCTGTGTGTTTGTGTGGTCTTTCGGGAGTGTTTTTTGAAACCTTTAGTCGGTATTGGTGTTTGTAGATTGGGCTGGATATGCTTACTTTTCCAATTTATACTGCGGAAGAGGAAGAGAGAAAAAATTTCAGTTAAAAGAATTTAAAATTCTTTAAAATTAAAAACTTTATTTCTTTTCAATTAAAACATAGAATTTTTTGGTAGAAAAATATTTTTGAAATTTTTTTAAATTATATATTATATATTACTTTAATTAATTTTTTTTTAATTCAACGAATTTTTGAAATTTTTTTAAATTAAATTATTATATTATTATTATATATTTTTAATTAATTTTTTTTAATTCAACGAATTTTTGAAATTTTTTTAAAATATATATTATATATTACTTTAATTATTTTTTTTTAATTCAACGAATTTTTTAAATTTTTTTCTTAAATTAAATTATTATATTATTATTATATTACTTTAATAGTTTTTTTTAATTTAACGAATTTTTGAATTTTTTTTTAAATTAAATTATTGTATTATTATTATATTTTTTTTTATTATTTTTTTTAATTCAACGAATTTTTGAAATTTTTTTTAAATTAAATTATTATATTATTATTACATTTATTTAATTAATATTTTTTAATTCAACGAATTTTTGAATTTTTTTATATTAAATTATTATATTATTATTATATTACTTTAATTAAGTTTTTTTTAATTCAACGAATTTTCGAAATTTTTTTAAATTAAATTATTGTATTATTATTATATTTTTTTAATTAATTTTTTTTTAATTCAACGAATTTTTGAAATTTTATTCATATTAAATTATTATATTATTATTATATTACTTTAATTAATTTTTTTTAATTCAACGAATTTTTGAAATTTTTTTTTTAAATTAAATCATTATATTATTATTATATTACTTTAATTATTTTTTTTAATTCAACGAAATTTTTAAATTTTTTTCTTAAATTAAATTATTATATTACTTTAATAGTTTTACTTTAATAGTTTTTTTTAATTTAACGAATTTTTGAAATTTTTTTTAAATTAAATTATTGTATTATTATTATATTTTTTTATTAATTTTTTTAATTCAACGAATTTTTGAAATTTTTTTTAAATTAAATTATTATATTATTATTACATTTTTTTAATTAATATTTTATAATTCAACGAATTTTTGAATTTTTTTTATATTAAATTATTATATTATTATTATATTACTTTAATTAATTTTTTTGAATTCAACGAACTTTTGAAATTTTCTTTAAATTATATATTATATATTACTTTAATTAGTTTTTTTTAATTTAACGAATTTCTTAAATTTTTTTTTACATTAAATTATTATATTATTATTATATTTTTTTTAATAATTTTTTTTATTCAACGGATTTTTGAAATTTTTTTTAAATTAAATTATTATATTTTTTTAATTAATTTTTTTTTAATTCAACGAATTTTTGAAATTTTTTTAAATTAAATTATTATATTATTATTATATTTTTTTAATAATTTTTTTTTAACTCAACGAATTTTTGAAATTCTTTTTAAATTAAATTATTATATTATTATTATATTTTTTTAATTAATTTTTTTTTAATTCAACGATTTTTTGAAATTTTTTTAAATTAAATTATTATATTATTATTATATATTTTTAATTAATTTTTTTTAATTCAACGACTTTTTGATTTTTTTTTTTAAATTATATATTATATATTACTTTAATTATTTTTTTTAATTCAACGAATATTTGAAATTTTTTTTAAATTAAATCATTATATTATTATTATATTACTTTAATTAATTTTTTTAATTCAACGAATTCTCGGTTTTTTTTTTTAAATTAATTTTTTTACATTTTTTATTTAATTCAAAAATATTTACTTTTTAATTTTTATGATTAAATTTTTATTTATAATTAAATTTTTTTTTATTTTTTTTTTATAATATTATTGTTTTAATTTTTTTATATATTTTTTTTTTCAATGTTTTTAATTTTATATCATGTTTCGTTTTCAAAATTTTCCACCACTCAGTCGTAAGTCCGCACATCACACCATATTCACATTTAATAATTTCGCGTTTCTTTTATTTCATGTGTCCTGTTCATGCAGGACATGCTCTTTACCCCGTGAGAATTAAAGTTAACTCCACAGCGAAGGCATAAAAAGAAAAATAATAAAACAATAACAATGCAAATAAAATTGTTTTTGCTCAGTTTCACATTACTCGCCTGCCAAACATACCATACGTTATTATCAAGTATAAAAATCGAAAGGGCGACGATATACAAAGTTAATACCCTTGTGGTACATATATCCTCGAACCACAAAGCCACAAACGTATGAAGCCATCAATGGCAGTAAACACTGCATAAAGTCATGGAAAAATATATTTATTTCATTATAGTGCAGAACAAAAACAAAAAAGACAGATAAAAATGATTCTCCTGCGTAATACAATACATACATCTGAGCATATTGTCCTTGCTTATAGAGAGTAGAACTAAAAAAGGGTGGAGAAAATGTAATAATAAATAAATTGACTGTCTAAATCTTCAACAAATAATAACAAAGGGAGCGAGTGGCTCTTTTTGCGCTACTTACAAGATCTAAAAAAAAACACTCGTCTTATGAAAAAAACTGTTTAAGGACATTCTATAATCTCATATTTAGAACCTTGCAAAATTTTTGTCTATGAAGATAAACGGTTATCATCCTAGCAATTTCACTTTAAAATTTTAAAGCACCTAAGGCACCTTCTCTGCTACACAATACCCATAAATACTAATTTTAGTAGCGAGAGGAAGGTCTAACACTGGAAACAATTCTCTCACTCAACATCTGACGCTTTGAGGATTCAATAAATTCAAAAAAACAAAAAAGGAACAGAATCCTAAGCTATCACATATATTATGAACTTGGAAAGGAGCTGAAATAGTTTTTCTTTTCACAGAAGTAAATATCAGTATAATTTAGGAGTAACACTTAGATCTCAAAGATGATATGAGATCACAGCCTACTTTGGCAAACTCAAATGTCAATATTGGCAACACTAATACGAGTATCGTAAAAATTTAAAAACTATTAAATGCTGCTAGGCATTTAATAAATATAATGATAATTTATTTATGTAAAAATGATGAAAAACACATAAAATATTGCAGACACCGTGCACAACTTATTTGATACAACACAAGTTCATTGTGAATTATACGAAAAATATTGCTTACTTTGAAATTTTAGCGCTGTTCTATGGCAACCTCTTTGTTTTAACAAGTGCCTAGTTCTCATTTAGCACATAATTGACCAGCTTTTGTATAATTTGTGGCATTAAATTCAGACATTCCTTTAGTAGAACCCGCTTTTAACACTCTTAGTTGGATATTTTGCGATAAGCCTGTGTTCAAGAAGCCGGATCTAATAAAAAAAAAACCTTTTTTGTGAGGGATCGTATTAATGTAGACCAAAAAAAGCTTCTGTGTGATGTAGCGTTCTAAAAATCAATATTTTTTTATTCAAAAAATGGTACTTTCTTACAGTGTACCCTTATCAAAGCCGTTGGTTGCATGTAATGAGTGAAATATGCTAATTCCCCAGACTATATAAATTAGTAACATTTTGGTAAAAAATGTGACTTAATTACTTACTGACATGTACAAAATATGTACATAAATATATATATATATATATATATATATATATATATATATAAACATACATATATGTTAAAGTCTGCCTCGCTTGTTGGCCTGTGACGTGAGCAAGAAAATTGATTAGCGTACGCCAAGGTGGTTTGAGTGGTTAAATTATATTTACTAGCATTTATTTAGAACATAAATATATTTCTAGTAGGTAGATATGTGCAAGTTCGTATAAATTTGTAATACGTTGCATATAGAAAACATTACTCTGCAAAATTGCTGTCTGTCTGATATGCAATTTGGTTAAGTCCAAATTAATTAACTCTTCAACCGTAAGCCCGTACTAACGTACAAAGTTTGCATATTTTATAAACATACACACGCATGCCACATACACATGTATCTATTGTTAGCATTGGTTCTTACATGGCCACATAGTACATATTTCGAATTCAAAGTACAACAAACGAAGTATGAAAACAAAAGCTCGACTCAAGGCTCCATTTACTTTGAATGCTACTAAAATAAAGTAAAATTAAATAAATAAAAAAAATAGAAGAAATCAAATAAAATAAAATTAAATAAATAAAAATAAATTAATAGAAATTAAAATAAACTATAAATAAATTAAAATAAAATTAAATTAATTTAAAACAAATTAAAATAAAATTAACTAATTTACCAAAATGAATTTGAAAGAAAATAAAAATTGTTGTAATAAAAAAAATATATTAAAATTAAATTTAATAAAATAAATTAAAATAATATTAATTTAATTAAATTAAACTAAATAAAAAAATAAATAAAATAAAAGAAATATATTAAAATTAAATTAAATAAATTAAATAAAAATTAATGGAAACCAAAATAAATTAAAATTAAATTAAAACAATATAAAATTAATTTCATTTAATTTAATGAAAAACTAAAATAAAATTAAATAAAATAAAATAAATTAAAACAAATTGATTAAATAAATTTAAACAAAATTGATTTAACAAAATGAAATTAAAATAAAATACAAATTTTAATATATAATAGAAGCAAACTAAAATAAAATAAAATTAAATTAAAATAAAATATATTAATATAAATTAAAATTAAGTTAATATAAGTTAAATTAAGATAAATTGATTTAAATTAAATAAAAATAAAAATTAAATTAATTTAAAAAAATATTCAAATTAAATTTAATAAAAATGAAATAAAAATATATGGAAATTACAGAAAATAAAATAAAAAACGGAATTTAAATAAAACACTTAAAATATGGCATAAAAAATTATAAACAAAAAAGAAAATAAAATGAAGTAAAATTACATAGAAATAAAATAATATAAAATAAATAAAAACCAAAATTAAATAAATTTAAAAAATTTTAACAAATATTATAATTCTTAATTAAAAGAAATTCAATCAAATTAGATAAAGGGTAAAAAAATAATATA